GGCGACCATCTTTCATCTCGCAGGGCTTCTTCGTGCGCTTCCTCCGATGCTGGGGCAGGTGATGATCTTGATTACCTAACCTTCAAAAACCAACTCCCCGACAACCAGCCCAACAGCCTGCTGGTCCCGCCGGCGGATTCAAAAAGAATCAGCCAGCACTCGGCCTGGACCGATCTCACTATTGACACATCTGCTCACTCTGATCTAGAAAGATCCCCGGATTTGCTGCAGGACGATGATGACAACGAGCCGCAGTCCGCATTCGGCCATGTGACCATATTTGGGTCCCAAGTGATATCACGAGAAACAGAGTCGCAATCAAAAGAGGCGTATGATGAACAGGCGAGCGCGCGACCCTCCTGCAGCAGCTCAAGGGGTTCGTCGGCATTTTTAGACTACCGGTCACCAGAGACTGATGCCGGCGATGGTTTCGCAATTTCCTATCTGTCAACCGACCAGGTAGCGAGTTCACCTTACATACCTTTACCAGGCCATGAACCGCCCCCCGTTCCACCATCCGCTTCTGGCTCGGCGATGGATTCCAGAAGGGCTTCAAGCGCATTCTATGATCAATCACAGCGCGGAAGCACGCTGATATCCTCGAGTCGTGAGAGCGAGGATTTTGCCTCCCAGACGGAGACTCCTCAAACTGCTGATACCACCTCTATTGCCACCTCGGAGCAGTACTTTGGGGCCTCGCTCAACGGCGATGTTGGCATGAATCCAGATGCTACAGAAGGGGAGGAACTCACTGACAAAGACCGGCGCCGTTTGGTCCAGCGTCGCAATGTCATCAAAGAGCTTCTAGACACAGAGGCTGTCTTTGTCAGAGATATGAATATTGTAGAAGAAATCTACAAGGGCACCGCAGAAGCTTGTCCCAAGTTGGACAACAAGACTGTCAAGCAGATTTTCAGAAACACGGATGAGATCATTGCGTTTCACACATTGTTTCTCGGCCAGGTCAAGGAGGCGGTTTCCAGTGTCTATGTACCGAAAACAGGTCGCAAAGTTCCCAAAGAAGATCGTTCCGTCGAGCCTCCTCCTTCGAGCAAAACAGTCAGCGATGCGAAAGACCGCGAGGTATTGCTCGGCCCTGTGTTCCACCAGAATATGGAGCAGTTACAGACAGTGCACGAAGGCTTCCTGCGCAGCAGTGACCTAGCAGCAAAGAGACTGATACAAATCCAACAGGATCCAACAGTCAAAGTTTGGTTGAATGAGTGTAATGAAGTGGCCAAAGATCTCACTGCCGCGTGGGATCTGGATTCACTCCTGATCAAGCCGATGCAACGTATCACCAAATATCCGAATCTCATCATCACTCTTTTACAACATACGCCTCAAGATCACCCAGATCGAGAATACCTTATATCAGCCAAAGACACTTTAGAGACAGCTATCATTGAGATTAATAAGACCAAGAAGAACTTCGAGCTCGTTGGCCAGATCGTGGGCAACAGAAAGCGAAAAGAATCCGACGTGAAATTGGGCATTGCCCGAGCTTTCGGCAAGCGAGTGGACAAGCTACAACCAACAGGAAATCGACCTCCGGAGGACCCTGACTATGCCAAGATGAGTGAGAAGTTTGGCGATGACTTCCTCAGACTGCAGGTGGTACTCCGTGATGTTGAATTCTACACCCGGCAAGTGGCCACCTATGTGCGAGAATTCCTCAACTACCTATCCTCGGTTGAGCTTGTGATGAGGCTGCAATCGGGAAATTATCCTGAAATCGAGAGCAAATGGGTCCAGTTCAATATTTCCATCCGAGACCTCGAAAAGGTTGCCCTTGACGATCATTTAACTCAAGTTCGAAAGCACGTCATTGAGCCTTTCGAGCAGGTAATCAAGGCATACGGCAACCCATCACTGGCGATGAAAAAGCGGCAAAAGCGAAGACTCGACTTTGAGCGCATGGAACAGCTAAAGCGCGGAGGCAAGACGGGTGACGCGAAGCTCTTGGAGCTTGTCGAGCAATATGAGGCTCTCAACGACACTCTCAAGAAAGAACTGCCAAAGCTTTCTACGCTTACTGAGAAGGTTGGCAACATCTGTCTCGGCAACTTTGTCCGGATCCAGGCGAAGTGGTACGGAATCTGGAAGGAAAAGATGAAGAAGGTCTTGGTCGACTGCCCAGACAAGCCTGATCTCGAAGAAGTCGTTGCTTCGTTTCAGAGAGACTTCCCTTATGTGCAGGAACAGCTCGCGAGCATTGGCATACTTCAACCAGTACCGAAGGGTCGTCCGTCCCATTCGACAGCAGCAAGCAGCGATGATGTTCTTGTGTCCAAAATCCGTTCGCCACGACCTTCTGATGTCGATACGGGTCGGGGCCGGCAGCTGTCGCTAAACGGCGAATCAGTGCCCTCTCTGCCAACACCAGACTTTGTCAAGCGGAACAGCGAGTCTCTATCCAATTCACCCACAACCGGGAACAAGCCTTTGCCTGCTAGCCCCCATCAATACTACTACAGAGACTACTACGCAGGGGCAGGGCAGTCCAGCAGTTCTACTTCGGGAGTCACAACGGACATGACGACCAGCTCAAGGTCCGTCACTGGAACGGCACCCACGTCAACTCGACCTAGCACCGGGCGGAGCTTTGACTCCGGCCCCGTCCCGAGGCAGAGCACGGAGTCGGCGTCCCTCCATCGTCGTGACTCAAATACTACATATGGCTCCAGCCAAGTGCCTCAAGATAAGAGATTCTCGGGATTGTTCCATTCGGCTCTGCCACTACCGGACGGCCCAGAAGATAGAGATCGGTCTTCCCGTGCATCATCTCGGGAGAGAGTTCCGACACATGATGGCTACAACGTTCTCTGGCTTGCGGCATCGCTCTTCGAGTTCAACATCGCTACCACCAAACACGAGGCCGGCTATCCATACCTCGTATACCAGGCTGGTGAGGTACGTATTTCAGATGACGAAGGGGCGATCCTATTTTTTTCCTGTTCTTGTGTTTGCTAACCTTCAGAGTAGATTTTCGATGTGATAGCCGAAAAGGGCGAGTTGTGGCTTGCCAAAAACCAAGACGACCCAAGCGAGCAGGTTGGTTGGATCTGGTCCAAGCATTTTGCGAAGCTTGCAGATTCATAACACTATCTATCCACATCCAACTACGATAATAGACAGCGCCGGCACCAGGTGTACATACATACACATGAGATAACGACCTTTCATCCGCGGATACATTTGACCCAGCTGTTTGTCACACAGAAATACTGTAGGGACAAATCCTGAGGCCGAGGAGCGAGCGTTCTTTCTTTGCTAGTTCTGCCTCTTCCGCCTTTTCACACTATAACTATATGTTTGCTCACTCTACATTCACCATGTTGTCCGATATTTCCTTTTTGTAAGCCATAGGACGGAATGTCATGTCAGGCTAGTCCTATAGCGATGGCATATAATACCCTGCGTTGTGGATTTCTGGAAGGGGGGAGGGAAACAAGATGAAGTATCTGAACCTTGAGACTATGTAAATGAAATAATCATCAAAATCCGGGAACAGGGAGGGGGAAGTTTCGTACACAGGCGTTGGAACGATAAAATACCAGGTGTTTTTTTCTCTTCAATTTTTCTTCTTGCTTTGCTTTTTTTTCCCCTGTTTTTGGCAACGGTTTGCTGTTATTTCTTACGAACGGAGAGAATGGGAGAAGAGGCTCTATGGACACGATTTGGTTGGACGTGATCCAGACATGGGAGGCCGGAAGTTTCATTGGCCTGTTTTTTCCTTATTTCTTCGCTTCACCTCAGATACCAACAGATTTATGTACATCACAATTGGCCAAAATTTCGAAATGAAAAGAACGCCAGGTGTAAATGTCAGCTATGGCGTCGGAAGAAGCTGAACCCAGGCATAAAAGCGATGCTGAGTTTGCCAATGTAGCAGCCAGTCACAGAGCATGGTCAGGAAATTCGTCAATGCTAATAGTCCTGTTGAGGAAGTGCCGGCTGAATTGCACATTGCCTGAACATGACAGAAGTACCAAGGTGAGCAACAGGCATACTAACACGTAGCAGATTGAAAATGCCATCCTTGCCGGCAGACATGGACCAAATGCAATTGTCAGCACCGCAACCATCCAAATTCTGGGCGTCACTTCATTGTAATCGGGCTGCTTTCGCTCAATGCCTCAATGCTGTGGGCTTGTGATCTGAGACCTGATCTGCCGAAGCCAGGACACATGCGAGTACTTTGAGGGTCCAACCGTTTCCAATGGCGCAACGTCCTGTTTCAGGTACCAAGCAGGTACTCAGCAAGTACTGGGATGGACCCCTAGATGCTAGCGGGAAGGTCAGCTGTGGGCTGGAGCAGGTGCGCTTTCCCGAAATGCTTCCTCCCGTCCCTCGTACTTGCCGAGCGTCGCTGTACGAAGGCAAGGCAGGAGGCTATTTGCGGCTGCCGCTAGTCGTAATAATTAAAGCGATTCCCAACAATTGCACAAGCATGGCCCGCCTCCTCTTATCGCCCCCGATAATTCGCAGCTCCAGACTGCACCGCTCTCGAGTCCGTCTCGGAGTGTTGCTATCAAAGTGATCCTTCGTATAAATACTTAATACCCAGCCCCCAAAACCCCTAAAGTCCTATTTATGACCCCGGGACGGAAATGGGCCCTTCCCCCATGGGCCACCACGACCCACCGCCGCCGTCTGGACCGCGCGAATCCACGCCGCGCAGCAGTTTAGCGTGCGATTCTCCAGCCCTAAGCTCCCAGGAGCTCGCCATCGACACTCAACGCCCTCCGCCCAGAGCCCCCCGATTCTTCTGGCCCTTCAGCCCTTCATCGCAATCGCAGCTCAAGTACGGCGACTTCCCTGTTTCGCACCCGAGTACCGTGGATGGGGGCACCAACGCGCATCCGCATTGGCCCCGAGATTCGACAGATGATCAGCGCTTCCACTCCAGCGAACGAGTCGAGGTAGACATCAGACGGGAGAAGATGGCGAGCTGGTCGGGCCAACCGTCCATCCGGGGCAACTCGGAGACGACGCGCATGGTCCTCCTGACTTTCAGTGCCATTGGCGTAGCGTGCGTAATTCCATTCTTCCTTGTTCTGATCAGGAGAGGCTTTGCGCGAACTGACCAAGTTAACTCGATATAGATTCACGTGGGGCATGGAAATGACATGTGCGTGACCCGGGCTCCTTCCATACCTGGCCAACCCTGAGGATGTGCAGCGCTAATCTCTATCCTTCTTTTTGACAGACTGCACGCCCTACCTGCTCAACCTTGGTCTTACGAAGAGCAACACCTCGTTGGTATGGATCGCAGGGCCGTTGTCCGGGCTCATCGTCCAGCCCGTGGTCGGCGTCATTTCGGACGAGAGCAAATCGAGATGGGGCCGGAGACGGCCTCTGATGGTTATCGGCACGATCATCGTGGCCCTCAGTCTGCTGGTTCTGGGGTTCACGAAGGAGATCGTAGGGTTGTTTCAGAAGGATGAGGAGAAAGCCCGTCGCCCGACTATTGTTCTGGCCGTCTTGGCCATCTATGTCGTCGACTTTGCCATCAATTCAGGTGGGTAAAGCTCCCTTGGCTAGCCCATATCGATCGCATTGCTGACTAGGGTGTGTACAGTCATGTCGTGTTCGAGGAGCCTGGTTGTTGATACACTTCCTATTGAGAAGCAGCAAACTGGCGCTGCTTGGTGTAAGCCCATCGTCTGCAGCTTTTTATTCTCCTGAACCGCGAGAAAGTGTACTAATCAAGCATAGTCAGTCGAATGTCCTCGGTTGGCAGTTTAATCGGTTATGCCGCTGGGGCCGTAGACATGGTCAAGGTCTTTGGCACCACATTTGGTGATACCCAGTTCAAGCAACTCACCATAATGGCTGTGTTTGCGATTACGACGACAAATGCCCTGACCTGTTGGGCTGTTACCGAGAGGGTCCTAATCTCGCCCAAGGCTGATGCCAGCAACGAGGGCCGCCTGAAAGTGTTCAAGCAAATATGGAACACAATATCCAACCTTCCTCCGCGAATCAAGGCTATCTGCTGGGCTCAGTTCTGGTCTTGGATTGGATGGTTCCCCTTCCTCTTCTATAGCACCACTTGGGTTGGCGAGACTTACTTCCGATACGATGCCCCTAAAGACGCCAAATCATCCACCGACGCGCTTGGCGACATGGGCCGCATTGGCAGCACGGCACTCGTTATTTACTCGGCCATAACATTCGCCGGTGCTTTCATACTCCCGTTCTTCGTGGAGTCGCCTGAAGACCAAACTTTTACGCACCGTCCGCCAAAGTACATGGCTGGCTTCTTGGTCAAGATAGAGAAGATGAAACCGAACCTTCTAACGGCCTGGATATGCGGGCACCTCATGTTCTCCTGCGCCATGTCATTGGCACCATTTGCCACAAGCTTCCGCTTCGCAACTCTGCTTGTTTGCCTGTGTGGTTTGTAAGTTGTTCCCCTCGACTGTATCTATGGTTTAGAGAGGAAGCGCTGACTTGCCATCTTCGAAACAGACCCTGGACTCTCGCCTCGTGGGCACCCAGCGCATTTCTGGGCGTAGAGGTCAACAGACTCGGTGGCACTACTACGACTGAGAACGGGACAGGCCACTACCGGCGTCTATCTGATGCCTCTGATATCGAGATGCCTTCTCTGGCCTCCAGTGGGGGCGCATTGCACCTTGAGCACGACCCTGAGCCTGAGGACGGCGGCACACATGCTTCAACAGGAGAATTGTCCGGTGTCTACTTTGGCATTCTGAACATATTCACAACTCTGCCACAGTTTGTCGGCACCTTCATATCGATGATCGTCTTTTCGATCCTAGAACCCGGCAAAAGCCCAGAGTTGGCAAATCCCGATGAAGAGGCCCCAAGCGCGACAGGCCCCAACGCAATCTCGGTCTGCTTGTTTATCGGTGCGATGAGCACTCTGTACGCAGCATACGCAACCCGGAAGCTGAAATACTTGTAAAAATATGTTGAAATGTCCCGGTACCTGTATAGAGAGGTTCAAGGAAACGCCATGGTTACATGTCTTGTCATTATCATTTTAGATATCTGTTGGGAATGGGAACTTTCGGGTTAGAAGGGCCGGTGTTACGGGAAGGGAAAGGAAAGCGGCGCTTGTTGGAATGGGTTGGGAAACATCTCTCTGGATGATCAGAGTCTGTCGATTGATCTATGAATCTAAATGAAAATCCACCACGCACTCAATACACACTGACTCTAGCCATCCAGTGCACACGCTGTGAAGGAAAAGCGATTTATGACATGACTCGTGAGAATGTTTATGGGATCTGTTTATGTCTCCTTGACTTCATCAACCCATCTGACTGCGCACACCCTCCAGAGACCTGGAGAAGCTTGCGGTATATACCTCCTGTTACTGGCCCAGGATTACACTCATTTGTCCTTCTCCTTCTCGCTCTCCGAAACCTTCTCCCACTCATCCTCCGTGCTCGCGCTCGACTGGGTGCCGGCCGGCGTGTCCTCGCCGCGCTTCTTCAGCTCCCCCTCGGGAGCCACAACCTCGACCACGGACGAGACAGCATCGGCGGACGCGGGGATCCTGCCCGTGTCCACCTCGACTTCCGTGTCACTCTCCCCCGTGTCCAGCTCCCTCCTCCTCTTCTCCTTGTCCTTGTTGTCTGCAGTACCCCCCTCCCTCTCCTCCCTGGCGCGCTCGGCCTCCTGTACGGCCTTGAGCTCGGCGGCGAACCAGTTGACGGACCACCAGAGCCCCGCGCACAGGACGGACAGGACGACGCAGTGGATGGAGTAGGTGGCCGCGAGCAAGAGGAGGAGCACGAGCTGGAGGGCGGCGAAGGTGACGTTGGTAGCGCGGAGGATGGTGGGCGTGGGGCCCGGGGTGAAGATGGACTCCCACAGCTCGACGAAGAAGGCGGACATGGTGTGCGGGTTTGTATTTTCTTGTTCTTTTTTTTTTAAAAAAAAAAAGTTGTTTGAGGTTGTTGGTGTTGTTGGATGGTGATGATGACTTTCAGATCGGCGATTCTTGTAGTATGGAAGATGTGGTATGTAACGACTCTTTCGCAGAATATGTGATTTCTGTATTATGTATCGGCCGGGATTATTCGTGGGTATATTTCTCAGTGAAGAGGCTCGTACTGCAGTTGTATATACAGTTTGGTCGTATACAGCTGGGGCCCGTGATGCACAGAAGAAAAAGCGCAGGGTTGTGTTTCTCAAAGCTTCACCCCGCAATCACACCAGGACAATCAGCCAGTCACTGATTTTGTTGGGGTTTGTTGTCCTCTTTCGCCCCGTCTTGGGTGCGAGCTGCTGCCTGGGCGAAGCGTATCTAACTATCCCCTCCTAGCTTCTGGATGGGAACGGGGCTGGCTTTTCGCACGACGGAAACGGACAACGAGCTAGTTTGGTCGCCGGACGGAGGTCAGACAACAAGCTTTCTTCCGAAAGGGTCCAGGCAAAGGAGAAAAGGACAGGCTTTCGAGGGAAGAGGGACGCGGTGTTCGATGCAGCGCCAGGTTATGCGCCCGGCCGTGGACGATGGGGGTTTCTCTCGCGGGTCTGAACTGCGCAACGCTGGTGGCTGCCTTGGAGGTTGAGCTTCAGTGACGCAAATCCGCAGCTCCATCTCCATCTCCATCTCGTGCGATGTGGGGTGGGGTGACCAGTCCAAGTCATCATGCTACCCTATACTCACGCACCTCGTCGCATCGCAGGTCCAGCTTGCAACCAAACAATGTAAGATGCTCCGTTTGGGTGTGTATTGTTGGTTCCGGCTGAGTTGCGTGGTATCTTATGTTTGACTTTACGTACATCGGTTTTTATTTTTGGCACCTCGCGCTGCATGGCAGGATAGAGTATATTGCTTCACACTCACAAAGTTGCATTAGCAGACACAACCTGACACACGCACCAACCCACTCCATCCCAAATAGTCCATCTAGTCTTATTCGCATTAGCAAATCACCAAAGGCTTCTACCGTCATTCTAGAGCTCCCTCGTGATTCGCAAAAACAAAGTCCTTTTTTTCTAGAGTGGTTCCCCAAGAGCTGACTGGCTGCATTACTTGATATCCCACCCCACTCTAAGCGCGTCTAACATCAGCATGCATGCAAGACTAACACCGACCGAAGAACGTCGGCAAGGCTGCGGACGGGTTTCTCCTTTGCTGGAGGAGCTTTCGGAACGGACGGGTGTGTGTGTGTGTGTGTGTGTGTGTGTGTGTGTGTACATGATCACTTGACGAAGCGTAGAGTGGTTCACATGCAGGCTTATATTGGACACGCCGTGTACAAAGTAAAATGTTCCCCCCATGCGCCGCAGGGCCAACGAAAAAAAGAGGGTAAAGAAGAGCAAGAAGCACAGAGACAAAAGGCGACGCCACTGGGTCAGATTACACGCAAGCGCTGACTGGCCAGATCGGCCCAGAAAGGGTAAAACACGAACATCGGATTGGGGGGGCATATCACATCCCGTGGACGAGGCGGCTGCTCATTGGCGACTCCCAAAGCGAGCCAGAGGGACATCAACTGACGAGAGGTGCAGATCCACGCTGCGGCGAACCACACGCATACATACGCAGCCGTGCTTAGTGTACCCGGGGCGATATGCACCACCCAGAGTGACGCCGCAGATTCGCACTGCGAGCTGGAAGCGCACCGTGTCGCAGCATGCCATCCATAGGACGTAGTGTTGCAGTGGGAATTTCTGGTTGCTGATGGCCGAGCTTGTCGCTGTCCTTGCTACATACAGAGGTCCTGGAGAACCAGCGAATCAGAACAACGTCGCCTCCGAGCACGACCATGCCCAGCATACCTATCAAATGAGTGCTAGTGGTCGGGTAACGTCTCGTTCCCGGGAGGCAGAGCATATCCCCGGCCACTAGGGAGGACATCCGTGATGGCGACAGCCGTGCTCGAGAGGCAGAGACAGAGGCACAGGGCGCAGACACGGACAGGCACAGGCCCCAGGCACAGGCACAGGTACAGGCCCCCCGCAGGGTTATGGCCAGGCAGGCAGGCAGCTGGCCCTCTCGAGGCGGGTTGCATGAAAAGGGCCTTGATCTCGGCATGGCGTGACACGATTGGTGCGGGCCGGCAGAACATCTCGAGAAGTGTGCAGTGCAGTGCACAAACGACACCCACGCCGGGAATCCCTGAACGCATTCCCAAAGGACGATAGTTTTCGAGGACCAGCTGCAGGTTGTAGGGTGCAAAGTGCCCGCACGGGCCGTACCCTGCTCTCGAGTCGGAAGACAGGACAAGACGGTCAAGTCTTTCTGGCAGCATTGGCCTCACACGCCCCTCCATCTACAGTAATATGACAGGTAGTAATCGTAATTAAAAGAGAGGCCGAGCGATACAGAGACGGTCAAAAGAGGCACAGCAGCCAAACCTCCTCATGGTTTCCCTTGTAGCGTACAAGTACGAGACAAAATAGTATGCGCACCAAGCACATTCACACCAGATGCGTCGCATTTAGCCTCTCTCCCTCTTGGCCACAGCCATTCACCGTACCACTGGGAATGGATCCGATGTGGCCTTGGGAGGGGGATCTTCTGCGAGATGGCCAAGCGCGTGTCGCTTAACAGCCTCGTGGTATACTCGTGTCAAAGCCGACCGTGCCCGGGTGTTATCTTGTCGACCATGCAGCCTGCACACCTACCTACCTACCTGAGGTAGAGCGATTGATATCCAGAGCCAGGGCCTTCATGCACGAAGCTGGTGAAATGCGCTCAAGCTTAACGACCGCCCGTTGTGCGAACTGGCCTTGCAGCAACTCCACGATCACCCCTCCCCTCTCCACCAAGCCGGGTTGCCCGACCACAGCAGAACATTCTTTTGACAAAAATGCCCATCCTCGATTTTGGAAGGTGTTCTGAGGCGGCTTTCCCTATACCCCTTTCTCGCATTTGGCTGTGAGGCAGAGGCGTTCACGGGCCACCTTCATTTCCAAACGGCTCCGAGCGGGATAGCACAGCAACACAAAACACAGAGAGAGGTTCCACATCTGCAGGTCCCTGATACAAGAGGCGAAGATGCAAATTCCCGTCCCCGAATTTCTCGGAGTGTGCGCGCATGTGGCCAGCGGAACCTTCCACCGCAGCCATGCTGACCTCCCCATCCCATCTCCACGATGGCAAATTCGCCCTTCGCTCCTGGACCTTGGCCGGTGAGCCGGGGTGGGCAAGCACACCAATTGTAGGTCTGTAGATGTGCACTGGATGTGGAGAAAAGAGGGTGAATCGTGGTGAGCATTGGGTTGACCTGAAACCCCAGTTGTTTTCTCTTGATCGATGGCACGCTATGAATTCGGAGGACTTAACACAAAAGAGAGTCGTACCATCTTGCTGGGGAGAGAGAGATTTGCGCCCACAGTGTAAATGCCCTTGCCCCAGTCGCTATTGATCGTGCAGCAACTGGCAAGCTCTGGCGGATCTGGGAATAGCAGACTCAACAATACTGCTTCTCCCGTTGTGGTTAACCGCTGGCTCGCTTGATTGTGTTAGCAGCTTCCTTTGATGTAGAGAGTAATTTCCGTAGGGTTTCGAGCTGCATTTTAGGGCATCAATGTCATATACTTCTTGACTCCCAAAAAGCGGCCGATCCAGGCGAGGCCCTTTGGTCTAGGGGAAATGGAAATAAGCCTCCAAGCACCCGGGATAACCCTACTACGAGCTCTGAGCATTTTCCCGTGACCGTGTCCTTGGGATCCATCAGGCCAAGGAAAACGTGGGCAGCATTTGGTACGATTTGGGGTGCGGTTGGAAGGGAAGAGCTTGCAGCAAGTCGCGAGCAAGGTAACAGTCCGCGCTGCTACATTGCTTCGTATCCAGCTACGAATGAAGGCAAGCTCAGTACAGTACTTCTCTCTCGCCTCTTGAAATGGGGATGGACGCCAGACCCATACTTTGCGGGCACTGGACTAAACGTCCATGCTTCATGGCCTACATAATACAGTCTCTTATAGTCGGGTTATTAG